CCACCAAAGCAGGTACCCAAAAAGTCGACTTTTTGGGTACCTCCCAGGTTTACCAATTTAGACCCAACCCAGCACCACCAAAGCAGGTACCCAAAAAGACAAAGCCTAGAGCATTCCTAGGAAAATGCCAGAAAAGGCTTTGAAAATTTCATAAACCAACAGAAAACGTGACAAAATCTACGAAAAAGCAAGGGCATTGGCCGGGACCACGCCGTGACCAGCCCGGGATTCGAGCCCAGGACCATTTTGGACCGTGCTTATTTTCCCGCGCGGGTCGAGAGGGTGCCCCAAGATGTAAATCAATTGGGATGGCAGAATCTTGGACAATTCCCGGGTCGCTCAGGTAGCTTTCCGGGCGGGATTTCGTGACTGCAACAAGGGTCCGGAGGGGTAGAGGTAAGGTCTAGGTCTAGGTTTAAGGCTAAGGACTAGGTCTAAGGCTAAGGGCTAAGGCTAAGGCTTAAGGCTAAGGCTAACATCGACAGTCACGCCTCACCCCACGGAGTGGGGTCGGCGGATAAATATGTCCCAGCTTGCAACCAGACAATTCCAAGAACTGTCCTATTTTCTGGAAATCGATGTCAAGTCTTGGAAAGTCGGCAGATGTGCAAGCAGACTGTATAGCGGCGCCAGACATGACCAACTCCAGTCCAATCGATGTGAGGCTTCCATGTGGCCTGGTCTTGCCCAACCGTCTTTGCAAGACCGCAACGTCCGAGCACATGGCCGATGTGATCACCGGCAACTCGCTCTCCATCACAGGGGGTGGAGGGTAGCAGAAGCACGAGGAAACCACTGAAAAGGTCCGGTAACTTCAAAGCGTCCAATTCCTGTGCGCAGCACCTGTGTGTTGATCGCTCTTTCCGGCAAAGTGGTGGACGTTGACTGTTTCATCTCGGGTCCATGCTTTGCATGTGGACAACCCCTCTGCAGCACTCGGGTGTCTATGAGGGAGACCTCCCAGGCGTTCCAAAAAGAAAGATCGACTACCAAACCCCCGGCTGGGCCCAGAGGTCTCCTGATCAAGTCCCTCACCCCCGAGGCGAACCCCAACCGGAGCTGGCGCGCCTCTACGGCGCGTGGGCGAAGGGTGGCGCTGGTCTCATCATCACGGGCAACGTCATGGTGGACGACCATTTGGAGGGTCCAGGCTGGGCAAAAGGTCAGTGATGTTCAATTGGAAGGGGTCCATATCAGGTGAGCAGAATCTTTTTTATATAAGGGTTGACCTGCAAATGGTTGGGCCACCTGGTGGTGTCCTTTCTTTGTTGTGCCATTGTTCCTGGTTGTTCCTGGTTTCTTTGCTTTTGGACCTGGCAGCTGCTTTTTCCTGGGCCACCCTTGCATGGGGTATCATCCATCAACATGACTGCTAGAAGTGAGCCCATGACCCACCATAGCACTGGGCTGTAAGGCAATGTGTCCACGACACGACCCACCATAGCCGTGGCGCATCACTGGCACTTACTATCACTTTCTGGGCCTCTCATTGAGCCCGCCGGCTGTCTGAGGCAATGTGGTTGCCAGGGGCGTTGAACCTTCAGAGACCTGGAAGGCCTGGGCCAAGGCGAGCAAGATGTGCCGGGAGAACAGCAGTGATCAGCCAGTGGCCATCGTTCAACTCTCTCATCCAGGACGGCAAAGTCCGCCTTCCGTGGCTGGGCGGAACAGAGTTTTCTACCAGGACAGGTCGCCAGACCTGAGACAGGGTCCAACCCTCAACTAACAGCCTGGCCAGGAGGGTGGTAGGAACAGAACTTCTTGACGACATGGAAGTGGACGGCCTGGGCCCGCAAGGAAGGGCGGAAGAAAAAACACTCCACTTCCGAGTGTCCGCTTTCGGCAGGGCCGTCGCGCTGGGTGTTTTCAGGTGTGAAGAGATTCTTGACCCTACTTGTTTTTACAAATGCAAGAGCCTTCGGCCCATGGGCTCTTTTTCCCTCCCGATAAAGAACGTATCGATTGGACCGGCCGGTCTTCGCCGTTTGGAGCCCAACTGATCAAGTGCCAGATGTTCAGACATGTATGCTGGTTCTGACCAAAAAATACCGAAAAACAATCCCCTTCGAGAAGTTTCACGAGTTTGGCCAGACTTGCATCGAGATCGGGGGGTTTGCCTATAGTCGTGCTGACTTTGCGCGTTGCTTCTTTTTTAATATGGGAGGGAATGGGAAGAGATTTTTAGAATGATCTTCCTGTGTCAAATGGCCTTTTCTCTACACCATGCAGACTTCTTGATTCGCTTGGCAACCAAATCCCAAGAGCAAGGATTGTGGTGCAGCCAAGCTGACGGGCAGGAACATAAAAATACGTGACGTCCTATTTCGACGAAAACAACAGGGGAGGAACATGGGCTGTAGACACGGCCAAACTGCCGCGGTCCCGTTTTTCTCTTCCATCTGGTGGCCTCGAGAATGCAGAAGATGCTCAGTGAAAAGAAAACTTGTTTCAGCCAGCGCTTTGAAGTCACAGCCACGGTTTTGTTCCTTGGTGGATCTGGAGCCCGTGCCGGAACAAAACCAAGCAGCAAGTCGCTTTGGTTCTCGAGGTTGAGTGCATGTTCCCCAGAATGTAGAGATCATAGAGACATCTCATTATCCCTATAGAGAACATTCTTGAGTTGCCATGCCCCAAACCATCCCAAACCGATAAGAATCATCAATGCCTCCAAACGTCACCACTGCCCCCAAACCCACATCACTCTACTTCTCTTTCATTCCTTCCTTCACCATCTCCAGGCCCATGAAGAGTGTGCGTAGTGACCAAATGAGACAGTTGCCATCGGAGGGCACCTCCACGAATGCCAGGCCTGACTCATAGCAGCATCTCCTCAATTCTGTGCACCTCTCCAACCTGAGGGAAGACAGCAAAAGGATGCGGATAGGAATCATAGGTACAAAATATTACAAAATGGTGTCCAATTGCAAACACATTCACTATAGAATGAAAAACCCAATATGTTATATCACCACTGGATCACTATAAAATAGAAAACTTGAAATATGAATCACTGGAATGCTGGAAAA